TATATCGTACAATAACAAAATTATTGTGACAGGCCAAGTTAAAAAATGTCTTGGCAATGTCTGGTACTTCCAGGGAGCTACATTAGATCACTTCCAGACATCCCAGCTGATCTGATCTGATTGTAATCCCTGTGGCATTTTAACAGAAAGGTCATAACAGAAATCCATAAAGGTTGGGGAAGTGATGACAATCACCTGGAGATAAGATAAAGTGCTAATTGTTCAAGTAGAATGCTTAACAAGGCCAAACATATTACCATTCTCTCACCAGCTCGGGTGCATTGATTGTAAGACAAACTACATTAGTAGAGATTGTAAATAAGCAAAAATATGCCCCATCAGAGGTTTTCTCACTATGGAAAGCAGTGAGTGTGAGCAGGCTACTAATGTAGGGAAAGATGCTTTCCATTAGAAAGCTTTTCAGGAATCATTGTTTGTGTATTGTCAGTGTGTAGCCTGAGGGGAATTTTAGACACCGAGCTAAAACAGTTTGTTGAAGATTAGATAAACTGTTTGTCTACAAATATAATTAGATGAAGGCGCAGCAGCCTCCTACCCTTGTTTTCGGTACATTTTCTTCCATGTCGAAACCTGTTTTTCATTTGCTAACCTGCTGTATGGTTGACTTTTTGTGGTAATTGAATTGGATACTAACATTGAAATGCTGCTTTTCTATAAAACATATTAACAGCTCAGCAAGTAAAGAGGTATCTTTTGTCTTTCAGGAACGCCACAATGCCAAAACAGTGGGAGAAATAAAGCAGTTTGTGTCTCAGTTGCCTCACATGCAGGCAGCACGAAGCTCGCTGGCTAACCACACGTCTATAGCCGAGCTGATCAAGGACATCACCAGTGCGTAAATAAATCCCTCTTTTCCCCCTTAAACTGCATTTTGAACCAATTCTCAGTCCGTATTTAAATAACTACAAAATAAAGGATCGTGGTTTGTATAAATCTAAACACAATCCTACCGGTAGTAACCAATGCTGATGATATAAATCCCCCAATAGCGTTATAAAACCTACCTTAAATTGTTTGTCTCCTGTTCTTAAGTACTGTGGAGTCCCGTATTTCTCTTTTCTTACAGTATTTTATGTTTAGAATATCATCTATGTTTATTGTTATTATTATTATTTATGATCAAATCTAACCAATATCTCTTGTTTCAGCATCTGAGGCCTTCTTTGATAATCTAACAGTGGAGCAGGAGTTTATGACCGGAGTCGATACAGACAAGGTATTCTTCATTACCTATTGTTTTTCTAAAGCTAATCTTGCATTAAAAACACATAAATCTCACATAAATATGTACATAAATGATCTGGTTTCATATGATTTTACTGAAATAACTGAAATCCTCACAATAATCGGAAATGTGTCATTGCATTTGTTATTATTGGATTTAAATGAGAATTCATACAGTGTGATTTATATACTTATATTGAACGTTATGTTACTATCCAGGTGAACACATATATAGAAGACTCCATCGCTCAAAAGGATCCACTGATCAAGATCCTGCGTCTGGTGTGTATGCAGTCGGTCTGCAACAACGGCCTCAAGCAGAAGGTGTTCGACTACTACAAGAGGGAGATTCTCCAGGTAGAAACATAAAGATTGGTTTTTGGTGGCTTTTCTGTGTGTTAGTGGTGAATTGCTGTTGACTGTTTAAGAATTACTCAGCTATGTGGTAACACGTTATTTGGTATGTTATTGGTTATGTAACAATTCATGAACATAAACTAACCAAGATATTTTTTGTGCCTAAACTGAACAAACACATGTTTGTGAAACAGTGGAACTAATTTCAAGGGGAAAGGTCCAGTGTGTAGGATTTAGTGGCATCTAGCGGTGTAGTTGCACATTGCTATTCCCTCCCTTCTACCGCTCCTTCCAAGCACAAAGTAAAAAACTTTGGAGGTCGAGTAACACAAGGCCCTATCTAGAGCCAGATATTTGTTTGTCAGTTCTGTGCTACTGTTGAAACACGGCTCATTCTGAGGTAACAAAAACATAACTAAGACTAATGAAAACATACTTATGAATATTATATTCCATTTCTGCTAATAGATCCTAAATGTTACACACTGGACCTTTCTAAATTAATTGAAACTGGCTGGTTAATAATGCCTCTTTTTTTGTCTTTATGAAGACCTATGGTTATGAACATATGCTAACATTGAACAACCTAGAGAAAGCGGGTCTGTTGAAGCCACACACAAGCTCAAGAAACAACTACCCCACTATTAGGAAGACCCTTAAACTGTGGATGGAGGACGCCAATGAACAGGTAAAGGATTTATGAAAAGGAGAGACTTAAACCCCATGCATGTTTGAGGAGGACCTCTTTGACTCTGTTCTTTGATTGCCGCAGAACCCCAACGACATCTCCTACGTGTACAGTGGCTATGCTCCTCTCAGCATCCGGCTGACCCAGGTCTTGGCCAGGCCCGGGTGGCGTAGCATCGAAGAGGTGCTGAAGATGCTACCAGGTCCACACTTCGAGGAGAGACAGCAGCTGCCTTCCGGGCTTCATAAGAAACGTAAGGACCAACACTGCTGTTTGCCCTGCTGCTCGCTAAACAGAATAAAAGTAAACGACCTCCTGCCTGCTTCGTGTAGATAAGACACAGGCTTTTGTTTCTGTCAAGTCCAATGCTGAACGGCAGCAGATTGATGGCACAAAGCTGACAATACCACAGAAGCACTGTCAGGGTTTGTGGCTTTTCTATGCGTCTGTGTTGAAGAGGAGGCTAGATAACGACACACTGTGACCACCTTCGGTTTCCCTGCGTCTTTTCGTACTGGCAGCGGGAGGTGTTACACTGATGTGAATAATGAATTTGATTATACACTCAATTTGAAACGTGCTAATTAGAACTATGAGTTTGGGCATCAGACAGTTGACTTGTTTCTACAGGCCTGCCTTACACTGGATTTTAAAAGGTGATAATAGAGGACTCTAATCTAGGGGGAGGGTGATGGCTAAATTAGTGTTTTCACATTTCAAAATATGGTGCTTTAGCAGATGGGACTTGGCCGTCTTTTACATTCAGTTGTATTTTGTTAAAAAGCAATGGCACAATGATGTGTCCATGTATGCAAACAAGTAGCCTGCGTATGTATTTCTTTGTTTTTCTCATCTTTAATATATTATTTTAGATTTGACAAGGATCAGGGAAATAAAGGTTGTTCACAAGGTTGTTCAACGAAATAAAGGTTTGCAGTAAGGATAATTACATTCATAGGGGAATAACATAAAATAAATCAAATAAAACAGTATGTACAGTTACAGGAAATCATTCTGCAGTGCAGTTTTTGATTTTGTGTCTAGGTGTAAACAGCAGCAACAGCAGAGTGAGGATAATATGGTTTCATCTTTCTATAAAACGTCTGACATTTGAGATACAGTGTCCATCTACTTTCACTGCACCAAGCATCCGCCTCCCCTCATCCTCCGTCGAGGATGCAGGATGTTGATGGAGCAGGTCTCTGTAAAGATGTGGGTGGGGCGCAGGGAGGGAGATTAGGATTCTGCTGTTAATGTAATTGTATAAGTACAATATAAAAGTGAGCAATGGCAGACATTTGATGGATTTCCTATGTCAGGGTAAAATACGCTCAGTCGGATTCCCCTTGAAGTCAATGAAACAAGGCAATTTTGTCCACAGGGGGCCGACAGAATCGACACAAAATGAAAGCTGCATGCTGCTTTAATTTAGCTTTTATATTTGGTTTGAGTGACAGGAATCTCTTTTTACGTCGTACAGGCCAGCAGGGGGAGAACCGGACAACGCTGGTGTTCTTCCTCGGTGGAGTGTCGTACGCAGAGATAGCCGCTCTCCGGTTCCTCTCTCAAATGGAAGACAGCGGGATGGAGTATATAATAGCCACCACGAAACTCATAAACGGTACAACATGGATCAAATCCCTCATGGACCGGCCTGAATCCCAGACCCCCTGAGTCACCTGCATGCACACCTGGCCACATCAAACACCCCATCCATCAGAAAAAACCTCAGCTGCTGTTTTATGTCCGTGTCAGTGTACTGCAGGTGTTTCATTGATGTGTGTGCTGGTTTAAACAGCAACAGGCTCTTTAAAGGTGCCCAGTGGAGTTGTCTTGTAAACAAAGTCATGTTTCCATTCAGTGTTACTGACCAAAATACGTTGTGTGAATCCTTGATGCCTGATATGAATGAATTTCCTTCTTCATAACATTTGCGAAACCTTGTTTTTTTTTAAATATAATTTGAATTGTGCATTAGTATGTCCATGTTTTCTTAGTTGTCTTTGGTTGTGGTTTCCTACACAACTACAATTTACAACAGACATAACACATACTGTATGTACGTACATACATACATGTACATAAAGTCAATTAAAACTCAAAACCTTTATTTAAGTCTTGAGAACATTGAGGTTTCCCTCATTTACAGTGGTGTTGAGAAACAGAAATATGAGTTAAAACTATTTAAATAAAAAAGCTATATGCAATTGTAATACAAAAACAAATCAGTTCAAATTAGAAACACTCCTACAGTTTCTACAGGTAGCTCACCTGGTGGAGCGTGCGCCCCATGTAGGTTGAGTCCTTGCTGCAGCAGCCTGGGTTCGATTGCGACCTGTGGCCCTTTGCTGCATGTTGTCCACCCCTCTCTACCCTGTCCTGTCTATCAAATAAAGGCATTAAAAACCCAAACATAGCTTTAAAAAAAATAAAGAAATGCTACAACCGCTAACTGTGCATCATCTGCGGCCTCGTGTGTGCATGATACAAACAAAACACTGCTCCGTAGCGCTTCAAGTGGTCAGTAACTCCAAAGGGTACCTTTAATTTTTTTTCAGTCCTTGATTTTGCACCCAGACAATATAATATAAAGCTGGTTTAATGCTACTGTTTACCCTACATGTTTTTGTCCTGTGGCTCCATTTCCATCACTGAGGCTCTACTGTGCAGCGATTGTATATATGTATGTATGATTAAAATATTTGGGATGTTTGCGATGTCATGTATAAGATGATTAAAGATGCACTTATACCATTTTTGAAGGCTTTTGTAGGCAGTTTTTGCTGGGCGATAAACAAGTAAATAAAACTCTGCAACTGAAATTACTCGGCCATGTGGGAAGCCATTTTGTGTATTGTTTGGGAGATTATTTTCAGACAGACAAGTAGATTGTGATCAGGGAGAGCAGATGAGAGGCAGGGATGGGAGTGTATCCGTCAGCAGTGGTCCAGCTCTCTGAAGAAGCAATTAGCGCCGTAACAGGCCTCCCGATCAGCCGGTAATGACCCTGTGCTGTCTGGAGAGCTCAGCCCACAGCAGCCCATGATGTGACAGCACAGGACACTGATTGAATTAGGAGGCCATTTGCTCCATGTTCCGGTAGAGGATAACTGTGCTGCGGGAGGGTGTTTGATCTCTGTTTCAGTCAATACCTTCTCCGTGCCTTACACTATGAACACTGGGAGACCTGCTGACAGCACTCGGATATTCTGGTGGGCTAGCTTGGGTAAATATATGTTAATTTCCTACATTTTGATTGGCTAGAAGACTTGGAAACTGCTTTGATTGAATTAATTGTAAAATATTTCATTCTGTGAATTGTGCTTGATGGCTAAAATCCTGCAATTTCTTTGTTTGAGGAGCAGGTGCACTGAAGATTTAAGCTCCCATTAGATCAACCCCAGGGGATTCAGATCCTTGTGATCAGTTATTGCTTTTGGCTCCTCCTCTGCCTTAAGGGCTTGAAACGCTCAAGGCAGCACACACCAACTTGGACTTCAGGGCTGGAAGCACAGGAGCCCACTTGCTGATCAGCTCCTGTCCTGCTCCAAAAACACCAAGGTATGATTGGATTAAGTTTTTTACACCTTGAGCCCGTTTGTGTTTCATGCATGTTGGAATTTTCTTTGTTTTTGTTTAGTTTTGTCTGTTAAACCTTTACCAGAAAAAAAACATTGTTATATTATTATATAAGACTACTGCCTACATTGTACTGACATTTCTTTTTAACATTTGCGTTGCACCTGGTCGTGTACAAAACTTCTGTCACATTATGAGAAAACTTACAGCATTTAACTTCCATTTAGATCTGTAGATTTGCTTAACGGGATATCAAACATCAGTGCTCATTTACAAAACTTTTAAAAAAGGTTTTATTAACATCTTTGTGCTTTGCAGGAAGTGCATAAGCAATGACATGGAAGTCTGATTCCCATCTCATAACTAGATGTTTTCTGGAAATGAATAGCTGCCTCCCACTGAAAGACAGCACATACTCATATATTATTACAACTTTTCTAAGATTTGGCAACCCTTTTCTACTTTGCCAATGCATATATCAGACTTGATATAAACATTTTATCAGAATTGATACACCATGCGTCATCTCAATAAGCCAGGATCGTTTCATTGCCTCTTTTGATTTTATGTTTATGATTTGTTAATATATTAATTCAATGTTTAATTTCTATCTTTTTCTATTTAAATTGACTACTACCTATATGTGGGTGGGACAGGGAGGGGGATCCATGTTTGGGTTGAGTTTATGTGCAGATTTTTTGTTAAATGTAAAGTTTGAACTCCAAAAAAAAGACAAAACAACACAACTGTGTATTTATCAGCATCATTAGTTCATGTGTGAGCTTGACTGTAACTTCTGGAGCCCGACGAATAACTGCTTCAAAGAAGAAAACACACATGAATGTATTCAGCATGTCTTCCTAAAAATATCAACAGTTTAAGATGTCTCGATGATGCTGAAAATGGTGAGGTCTATATTGTTTGCGACTATGCACAAACAAAGCAGATCAATACTGAACCCATTTAGTGCAATTTACACATAAATTATTAACAGTGGTCTTGTGACTGCGCCGCCTCTACAGCTTCTACAAGGCTGGAACCAAATCAGTTTGGACCTCGAATACAAATAAACCTCAACACATTTAAAAACACATAAAGTCTTTTTGTATTCTCTTGTATTCTATTCTGAAATCTGACAAATGTGTGTGTTTGCAGAATGGGTCGAGGTGAGAACATGGGACACCTGACTCAGCCCGGTCGCAGTAAGAAGACCCAGCAGGAGCCTCTGGATGTGGAGCCTTTGTCAATCCGCTTCCTCCGGACATTCAGGGAAATCCTCAAATTTGTTCTCTTCAGCTACACGGTGCTGTTTGGTGCTTTGCTCCTCGCCAGGTGGACCACCTATTTTATGGTGGGAAAGTAATAAGCAACAACGGTCGAAGAATGAGCCTGTTCTCTCTGACCCGGAGCTCATTAATGAAGTTGATCAGGCAGACCTCCTTGGGATTTGTGGTCTATGCAAAATCATTAATGTCTCCTCACACAACAATAACAGCTGGAGCGATCATGTTTGTTTCCTTATTTGACTCACAGTCTGCAGTAGAGCTCACGGCTTTTGTGCAGTTTATTTTTGAATAATCAACAGGGCGTTGCAGGCATGTAGAGCGACTCTACTCACTTAAACAAGCCAGCTTGCATCTGATGTGTTTGTTGACAGTTGCTTAAATGTGCAATCTAGAAACTGTGATATCTGCTGAGCTGCAAAATGACCACAATGAAGCTATAAAACATGTTTGTATAGTGTATTCTTGATTGATAAAAGCTTTAAAGCTGTTTTGTTTTTCTTTGGGAATCACATATAAAGTTGAAATGTTTGTGTAAATAAGGCAGTGGCAATGTCAGTGGGGGCTGTTTCTCTGTTATAGTGCTAATATGATCTGGATGAATCACACAAAGCTGTCTCCTCTGATGGGATTTTGTGATCTGGGAAAGCTCAATCACAAGGCGGACATAACAGGCAACTGCCCCGGAGGCCTCAGGCTCTCTGAGGGCCTGAATGCTCTGCTGTATGGCAATTAATAGGTAATTTCAAAAATTGTAAATTTGGTTGGGAATACTGTATGCACCATCAAAGCACTATATTTATAAAGATAAATGATTTGGGCCATAAGGCAACACCGGCATTTCCTCACAACCTCATCTTGAGTTAAAGGTTGGAAAAAAATGTTTTAAGACCTTTATTATTTCAGTGTTTAAATTTGTGATTAGTCAAATTACCTAAAAACTAGGGTGAACCTGTGGTTTAGGGGTTAAGATGCCGACCATGAAAAACAATGTCCCCACTACGAGACTTGCTTGTGACCTCTGTAGTCTCTTGCCCCCCAAAAAATAAACCATTTTTTAACCAAAAAACAAATAATACACACAAAGGGTGACAGAGAGTGGGATTGGAAGAGGAATACATATGTCAATATGCCTTTTTCATGGACACAGAAGACATTCTGACATGTTACAATTGGGCAAAAATACAGGTGAATATAATAAAGTGAAATATGGTTAAATTCCATTAAGCTGCTTCAGTGTAAGGACTGTCCCTTACTGGGACACTTGACTGGAAGAGAGCCATGTCAAGGTTATTATTAACACCAGAGTGTTTCCTATTTGAAGTCAAAACGTAGGGGTCCACCACTATATGTTGCCCTGGGGCAGGTGAATCTGGCCTCCTGGTGTTAACCCTGAACTGCAGTTTGCATGGGAGCAGTTTTTTACCTCAGGGCACCGAGGCTGGCCTGTTCAGAGCGTCACCCTCCAAAACTGATGTCCGACAGGTGCAAGAAACTACAGATCCCACTGAAGCTCAGAGACAGTAGCAGGTGCCACGGGAAGTCTTTGTTTTTTTGGGGGAGTTTGTGTTCATGGGTGCAGCACTGTCTTTAAATGTGTCTTTAAAAAGTAATTAAAACTGATGTCCAGCAGGTGCAGGAAACTACAGATCCCAGTGAAGCTCAGAGGTAGTTGTCCCCCTCCTCGTTTTTGGAGAGGTTTGTGTTTATGGCTGCAACACTGTGTGTAAGTAGCACCCCAAAAATAAATAAAGTAATTGTTATTGCAACTACTATATATATATACATTTATATTAACCTCCTGAGACCCAGCCTATTCATTTATGTAGAGGACATTGGTTTTTGGGCTATATCTCTTGACTTATTTTAGCTACCCTAAGCCCCAATGAGCTCTAGAGAGGACACCCTGGCCTTTCCAATTATATCTCAAGTGTTAGGATTGGATGAGGGGAACTTTTTTTTCAGGTTGAGACAAAAAAAAAAATAAAGTATAAATTGGAAGACCCACCTCTCTTTTCTTTGTTCTCCAATATGATGATATTCTCTTAGTTTGCCACTTCAATAAATCTCCAAAAATAATAAATAAAGTAATAATCAACATGTCCCCAAAATTAAACTTCAATAATTCAAATCTAGTTCTACTTTTGCTGTGAATTGCCCCAAAAGAAAAAAAAAAAAAACACCAATTGTGATGGTTTGCACCTGCGTGCCGATCGATTTGCATCGCCAACGGCAACATCAACGCGGGCTGGGTTTTATAAGCCATTACAGGGTTTTCTAAAAAAGTCTTTATAACTTTGTCACTTGACATTAATACTTGCTATGAAACCCAATTGATGCATGTGGCCTCCGCAGGTAGACATAAGGCGGAAAACACCTCACCGTTCGGCTGCCAGCCTCACCGAAGTGCCCGCCCGGATTAAAATGACCCGATGCGCCTCTGCCGCTCTCCAAACCCGTTTGATGCGTCCTGAACGTCCATTTTGATTACGTGTTAAGGTGAGCTGGTGAGAGGGTCCTATGAGAGTCGAGAGGGAATATGCTCAGAAAGTGGAGTGCAAAAGTCCTAAAAACAAAAACCGCTGCTGAACCATACAGTGTCACTTTTTTTTTTTTTTTTTAATTCTGTTGGAAAAAACCTCCTGCGTCGTGTTTTGTCTACCATCCCACGCCCGGGCGGGGAGCGAGGACTTGTGCGGAGTTAGTAAACGTGCAGGAAACTGCCTCCGGTGGTTGAAGGGTTCGTTTAATACCGTCCAACTGCTCCCTCGGTCCCATGCAACCTACCTAGCCGACCCACCGGGTCAGCCCTGGCTCCCAAATCCCAAGGGCCCTGCTGCATGAGACACCTCGCTGTCTGAGTCGCTCACCATTGGGCAGGTAAAACGCTGAGATTGAGTTAGTTTTGGAAAAATTTTGAAGGTTTGATTAATTTGCCCCACATCCGTTGTTTGAGCAGTAGAGGATGATGAGTTTGTTCTCTTGCTGGTCTATTATGCAGGCTAGGATAACATAGAGCTAGTAGTTTAATGGTCACTGACAGTGTGAAATGTGATGTGTTTTTTTCCCACATGAAAACGAGCCTTGTAAACTGTTTCTGCGCCCCGTGTTAAAGCCACTACTGGTCAATTATACGTGCAATTAATGTCAAATCCGATGCGGCCCTTTTGTGAGTAAAAAGGCTGTTTTAAAGCTGAGTTATTGCGAACTCCGAGGTTACGCGTGTTAAAGTTGTCTTTGATTGGTGGTGTCGTTACAATTGTTGGTGTTCGTTGTCTGTTGTTGTTGTGATGTGTGTGTGTCTGCAGGGGCCGGTGGTTGGGAACAGTGATGTGCAGTTGGTGCTCTCGCAAGTTCAAAGGAGCTTGATAGATGATTTGATTCTTGCTGAAGGTAATGTTGCACTGTGTCTGCTCCCTGACGTGCTCCCATCTGTCTGTTTTTGATGGGGGTGTCTTGTGGCATGTATCCTGTGCTAGTTAGTATGTAGCGATGGGGGGGGTTTCGTTTTGTTGTTTGTTGTTTTAACATTTCTTTTATTAACCTGTTTGGCATTTGAATGTTTGAGGTGTAGCTGTGTGGACACATTCTCGTCTTCTATTAGTCCAGTTAAGTTGGTTACCTGTGCACAGACTGGTGAATAGACATTCATTGATTGCTCTGTTTTTGGTCAATAATTGGCAATATACATCTCGCACGCGCCACTACTCTATTAATTTCCTTTCACTGTGTTGTTTTTGTGTTGTGTGTGTAATTTATATGTTTCTATGCCTTGGGAGTGAAAATGCTTTTCAGTAATTGAATAATTGCAGGATTTTTTTTTTTTTTTCGCTACACAAGTAGGAAAGTTATTGAGAAGTGAATGTTGCATTGAGCAATGCGCTTTGCTTTTAGTTGCAAGAATGTGTTTCAGCAGCGTGGGCGTTAAAGGTCCAGTGTTACCATTTAGGATCGCATCTATTGGCACAATTGAAATGTGGATTATTCATAAGGGTATGTTTAATCGGTGTATAATACCCGCCCTGGAAATGAATCATTATGGTTTCGTACCTAGGAATGAGCCGCGTTTTTTTATCTAAATGGCAGATAAGATGTTCTCTATTGATGTAGGAAGTTCAGATTTGCAGCACTTGTCGCCTTCTTCTACGAGTTTTATCTTTGTGCTTAAAAGGGGCCGGTGAAGTGGGGGTTGGCCAATCTGGCAGCTTTTCAACCCACTAGGCTGGACTAAATCCTACACAGCTGGTCTTTTTAAGTTTCCAACTTCAAAGGCTCTCGTGATGCGGCTCAAAGTCAAAATAGAAACTATTTACCATTTTGGCTGCTATCTGGTAATCCCAGCTGTACCGGATTTGGGTCTATATTCTCAATCCAAACTCCAATATAATGGGAGGGTGCAGGTGCAGGGGAGTTTTCATTTGTGATGCTCAAAAATTACAAAAATGTCCATGAAATAAAAACGCTTGACAGCAAAGTGTTTGTCGAGAATCACAGGGCTTTCCCAAAACATTTTCATGTCAAAGGCGACCCGATTTTTTTTGTCCTCTGAGTAGTTTTTTTTAGGTTTTTAAGATAATAAGTCTTCAATCAATAATCAAACTAGTATCATGACAATCTGAATGAACAATTAAGACGGGGTGTGGTACGTAACTGCCCCCTTCCCCATATGTCATAGTGCCCGAATCACGTAATGTTTACGTTAAGGCATGAAGACTTATTTGTGTGGTAAAGGCTCACCCGTTTGTTTAACAGTAAGGCTTTGGCCTCAAGACAAGTATAATGCTGAGGCCCTCCTTGTGTCAGAATACCAATACATAGCGGTGCATAGGCTTGAAACTAAAACCACACAACAAGTGAAGTAGTTTTTTGACTTCCTGCGGAAATGCTTCTCCTCTGGCCGCTCTTTTGCTTCTAAACGAGTTTGTTGGAGTCACGTTCGTATCAAGTTTGTGTGCTCTGTGGTAGGAGAGGAACCAACACCAATAGTCTATATTTGGATTGCACTAGCTCAGAATAGTGCCAGCTGTAACAGGATTGATTGTGTGTTGTAGGATTTGATGAATGCTTGTTTTGAAAAGTGCTGAATAGCTTTGCAGCATGGCAACGTTTTCTTTGCCTGCCTCCTAAGAGGTTGTTTTTTTACGTTCCATTGGGCAACTGAGCGCATTGTAAGGGTGGTTTAGTAATACATTTACGTCACTTGCTCCTTGTTTTTCAGCCCATGGTTGAAGTGGTCGTTTTCACCCGCTCATCCAGTAGGTTGGACAAAGGGCAAGCGTTACAATACTTTTGTACAGCCTGGAAGAATTTCGTGCATCGCTGGGAGAAAATGAAATCATTCAGCCATCCATTGAACACACCTCAACTTTTACACAACAGGCTCACTGCTACATTAGACAAAAAAAAGAAGGCGCAAAGTTTTTGATTATTCTTATCTGCACTATCAATTGACAGCGACTCAATATCCTACTGTTGAGTTCAACCAAGCTCTGGAGGGCTACTAGCCCTGGGGACAAGGGGGGTCGCTGTTTGTTCCAATCTTTCGCAGGAGCCTGAGGTTAAGTTTTGGCTGAGCTTCATCTGGACTAAATTAAATCAAGGACATCTAATTTATGATAAATGAATTTGCACTAAACTTCCATTGGCTCAACAAATGAAAAAGATGAAATTAAAATATATAGAATTCAAGTCAGTTTGTAAAATCAAAAATATAAAAATTTATATACAGACACTGTACAACTTTTTTTTTTAAACACCAAAAAGAATTAAACAAAGAACACTAAGAGGAGCTAGTAGCCTAGTGACTGCTGAATCTGACTGTTCAGCCCCCGTTGGCCTTAGTCAATAAATCTCCTTTGATCCCAAGTCCGATTGAATAATTTTGGCATTAAACCACCGAATGTCCCAAATTATGTTTCGGCAATAAACATAAAATACTGAAGCAATAAGTAGGTTTGCAGGAGCTCCCTGCTGCTGGGCTTCTACATGAATTGGTTTTTTACATTTTGATAAAATGTAATAGTTTAGATCCAAAGCTTTTAGCATTTGACTGAATTCCGTATTTATACTGAACGGTACCATTTTGAAATTGAATCACTCAACAAATGCATCATACATGAGCTGA